TTTTTTTTTAGATATTTATAGCCGTTAGAGAGACAATCAGGCGAGAGTAAAATTAATTAATATAACTGAGGATTTATACGGTTGAAGGTGAGAACCGAACTGTGCATTTCTTATCGGCCGAAGACACCTGCTCGAATGCGGCTGATGTACAAACTGAACGATCAACTACCAAAATCGTTTACCTAGTTGGACGTTTTTGCTCTCAAAGGGAAACACTCATTGATTCTAAAAATTCGATGATTGAAGGTGAGAAAGTTAACACATATCCACCGTACTGTTCAGGTAGGAGGATGACACCTCCAACAGCACATACACTCGGAGACATCGGTTTGTAAGGCCTGACACCGGGGCCTCAGTGGCAAAAGTAGTATTCGAAGAAAAGCGAATAAACGGACTTCGGAGAAGAGGTTGCAGAACTGTAACAGATACCGCAGGAGACAATGGCAAGGAAGAAGAGGTCATGAGTTGGTAACTATGCAGGGATGGGTGGGGAAGGCGGTCTTAGTCCGCCCGTCAAGCGTCGGATCTCTTGATCCAGATCCAGGATTAGCTGATCATCTTCTTCATATACACCGGAAGTGAGCAGTGCTCCACGCTCCTCCAAAAGCCTTGCTAGTTGAGTCTGGTTAACGGAATTCGGCTGTATTACTGCCGTTTGGTTAGAGGGCCCTGCGGTTACTTCACCCTCCCGATTGTTCTCTATGACCTGGAGGCTAAAATTGAATGAAAAGTGCAATATTGCAGTAAATTTACAAGACTGCTTGTATGATGAGCGGCATGTGTGAACCCAATCGCGAGTCAGAGTGCATTTGTAGAGCTGTATTGTTCTGTTAGTAGAAAGCAAAGTACGTAGTAAATCACAGTTCTTTCAAGGATCCAATAATCTGTTTCAAATAATTTGCAAAATAATGGTCAAAAACATAAAAATAAGATTTCTACCCTTCTTAGGGTCCCTCTGGGGATTAAACGCTGTCAGTGCATGATCATTTGGCAGATATGATTACTCTCAGTCGAGCGCCTATATCTAGGGTTCAAATACCCCTAATTATCGAGAAGAAGTAGTCTTGATCACTGTGAAAACTTTATCCGCCTGGTATCTCGGATTCTCTCTTGAGCCCATCATCAGAGACAGTAGCAGAAACGGGTAGTTTGTAGACAGAGAGTCGCAGTAACTGTGCTACTGCATACCCGTGACAATGAACGGTTCTCCTCTATCAA